TAAGATGTTGTAATTCCAAAAACAAACAAAAAAAACCCTGGAATCACCTATGAATATGGGAAAGGAAATAAACACACAGAATCCAGTGGGTAAATGTAGAGACATTTGCTGGCTATTTTACTATTATTAAATTGAGACATAAGGATCCAAAGACATTGAAAGCAATTTGAGAAAGCTGTACGCTAGCAGCTGGTGATGGGCGGGATGACACTCCCTGACAGTTGGCTGGTGTGGATGTCCCCAGCCATGGCCATCACTGCCCCATCTGCCACAGACATGTGTCTTGTAAAAAATTCCCACCAACTCTTACAAAAACCACTGCAGAAATGATGAAATAGAATTCCCCAGTAATCCATGATTATCAAAATTTACCAAACATCAAACTTTCACTAAAGCAGGGATTGCAAAAGATTAGGAGCCTCTGGTACCCTGCTGATGAACTTCATTGTCTTCAATCTTCTTTACGGTTTCTAGTCTATGATTATTATACCTTACTTTCTTATTGACCTAATGCTTTATGAAGTTGCATTAACGCATGCTGCTTTCAAAATCTCCTTGACTATAGACCTAGTAACACTTATGTTACTATCAAATTAAGTCAGAAATTAAAAAACAACACCTCCAATTTATAGTAACTGCTCCTATAATAATGAGCAGAATATAAAGAACAAGAATATTCTTTTTGATCACACTTTCTCAAATCAATCTTCAAAGTTGATCCAAGAACCCAGGAAAGAAAACTTTAGTGTCTTTATTTTAAATGTACTTAAATCTTGCTCTTTCTCTAGAAGTTTATAATGTAATATACATTATAAGGAAAAGCTATAAAAAATTAATTCTATCATGTACCTATCTTACCACATCAAAGGACAGAACTTTACAATTAAACCACTTATATTCAAATGCTTAAATTGTCATATATACAATTCTTAAAGAGCATCTATTACAGTCAGGTGTATATTTAAGCAAGTTGGTGAATTCAGCAGCTTGGGTAAGGGGAGAAGGGGAAGGAGCTGGTCCAGAACAAAAATGCAGGCTGCACAGCATTACAATTACACTTCAGGGGAAAAAAAGAATCAGAAATTTTATTAGCATGCAGACATTGAAAAGTAGTTTGAAAATCTGAAGAGATTCATTGAGTAAGATAACCCAGCAGATTTTTAAGGAAAATAACCTTGCATTCATTTAATGAATTTGGTCCTTTTTTTTTTCCTTTGAGGCTTAAACTAAGCAATGTCACAGAAGTCTGAGCGTTTATATCTTACCTGACTAAAGTGAAGGTCACAGACAAACAGATTTTAATATGTCAACTGCCGTAACTTTTACTTTTTAAATTATCAGTGACCCTGAAATTAATCTCATTGCCCTAATTCTTTGTGCCTTAATTTCTTGATCCAAATGCATCAGGTTCCCTATTAGCAGAGAGACAGTAATTAATAATTATTGAGTTTAATTCAGTCATTCTAAGTTCCAAAATCTACGAGTGGGTGAGAAACAAAAATCTTTTAGTAGAAGTACTGTAAAGGCATGCTGCCACCTAACTTTGCTACAGAATTTTCCAGCATAGTGAAGACATCCATATTTTTGGTATTTCTGTTCTCACACCAGCCTTGCAGCTGAAGACAGCAGGCATTACTCTCCCCCATTACTAACTGGTTTGCTAAGACCCAGATACATTCAGTGACTTGCTGACAATCGTACAGCTGCATAAGGGCTGTGCTGGAACCAGAACTCAGTCTTCCTAATATTACAAAATGTTCATCCAAGGAAGGAAGCTAATCTATGGTTTGATTTGCAGGTGACCTAAAACCCTACACCCCAAATGTGGTGGCGGGGAGAGGACCTGAGCACTTCTAAAATCTACTAAACAAAGCTATCAGAACCCCAATCACAGTTGCTTTCGAATTCCTGACTTCATCTCCAGATGAAAACAAAAGTTATTTTGTCATCTGATTTTTAGAAAACATTTTGAAACCCAGAAAAGAGTAAGAAAAGCAACGGATACTCGATGCAGGGAAAGGACAGTGGAGGCTCCAGGCTTCTAGAGCACAGAGAAGCGGCACCAGGTGACAGTTCCTGCCACTTGCTTCACATGCTCAGGATGCTGAAGACTGGGCACCCCGGGGGGGGGGAGTCTTCAGAACATTGGCAAGAAGTGACAACACTGCAGGAAGCCGTGCAGGTGGGAGGAGCAGCCACCTGAGATGACGCACGCTCACCCCTTGAAGGCAAACTGGTGGCTTGATGATCCGGGGGTTGTAAAAGAGGCTGTTCACGGCCTTGGTCAAGAGGAGTTGGGTAGAAGCGTTCGTCTTCACACCAGGAAGAAGGTAATAAGAGTCAACTTTCAACTGATGTCATTTTTAGCCCTAAAAATCTTTATAAGTATATATTAAACAATTACAAAAAGTTGGTGGAGTTCAAAAAGAATGCTTTAGATACTTCACAAAAATTAGTTTCTAGTTCTTCCAGTTTCTCTCTTTTTAAATTTTAATTTCTATTTTCCTTAAAATTTATCACTGCCATCTTGCTTCCCAAGAACACACATACATTATAAGTTAACAATCCATCATCCTCATACCAATTTTTTCTAAGGCACCAAAAAATATATGGCTATTTTTAAAAACATGACTTTAGTCATCAACAGAGAAAACTAAAAAAAATAGATTATAAAAAAATTGGTTATGATCAATCTTCTCCGTTTAGAAATACCTAGGTCTTAAATGACCAATTTAAAACCTTTTCCTATATTATGGTGCTGTAAAAAATACTCCAGAATTATGCATAAATTTATGATTTTCATAAAGATCTTATTTAAGTAAATAACAGGCTAGATCACCAATGTTTTCATTCAAGTGTAAGAACTTACATCATATTTAGGTCATGTTTAATTAGACTATACATAAGACACCCCACCAGGACACAGATAAGATTGAGATGTCTGGGACTGGGGGGAAAAAGAAGGATAAAGAGAGAGGCTTTTGGCAAAAAATGGTTAACCGTTGCCATTAGTAGCTTACCCAACGTATTATAAGATGGATGAGACCCAAAGTAGAATCAAAAAGGCAATCATATCCTGTTTCAAGACTTTCGTATTAGTAATAGTCAGTTAAACTTCCAAATTAAATGAACATTGGTTTCTGGGGCTGAAACCACACATCCTTCAAAGAGTAAGGCCTTAGCTACCTTCATGTTAGGGTCAAGGCACTCAGACTGCTGTGCTCAGGAAAGCAATCAACAGAGACTTTACTGTCTGGTTCTGTGCTACAAGATCCCAGTTCTTTTCTTGGGATAAGGAATTCAACATATGAAGCATAAACCATGGCAAAACATCAGTAATTGAAATTTATAAACTGTTTCTTCTGAAGCTGTTACAAAGCACACTGTAAATTCAAAAGAATATCTTTCGTTCCTAGAATTATGCAACAATAGGATACATTACATGCCAAAAATTATTCCCTAATGGGAAAGTTATGAAAAAGATTATTTTCTATAATAGTATCCCTTTTTGGCTGAGGGGAAAGGGGATTTGTACAGGTACAGAAACTCAAGGAGGGGGAAATCTACATGAATAAAATTACCCAAGAAAGTAAGGTGGAAAAAAGCCAATCTTGCCAGAGTTCGGGTTAGAATTTCATGTACTGTGGAAGGCACTGTGCCTTATGGAACAGGCTTGTGGTCAGCCCAAGTGCACGATTTTGTACGTGACCTGGCTCCAGCAAATCCAGGGGATGATTCCCAGGGAGGCACGAGCCACCAGCAGCAGATTCACACTAATCTTGTGACGAGGCTGTGGAGTGAAGCCAGTTCCAAAGTGGGCTTGCCCCGCCACTCCTGCTGCTCCCAGGCAGCCCTGGAAGCACTCATTAGGTGCCTGTCATCTACTCAAGCTGTTCACTCAGCCAAGCAAGTTTCCAGGGAGTGATTTCCTAAAGTACACAGCCTGCAACACAGTTTACAGCGGATACTTACTGGATGCCAAAACCTACTTTTAATCAAAAGTTAATTTCCAGTTCTGTGGAAATTATCTCAACTATATCTCTTCTTGACATTTCTATCCTCAAGAAAAAGAGACCTGCCTGATTTCCCATATCTCTGAGGCATGTTTTCCACTTTATTAAAATGTATGGTCTGGGGGTGGGGGGGTATAGCTCAGTGGTAGAGTGTGTGCTTAGCATGCTTGAGGTCCTGGGTTCAACCCCTAGTACCTGCATTTAAAAAAGAATAAAAATAAAAAACGAAAAAAAAAGTGTAGTCTGGACAAAAACAGTCCAAGTTAATTTTTCTATGTAGCAGATATGGACAATTTGCTCTAATGATGTTTCCGGGGGTCTCTGGACAGCTCTCCCCCACCTTCGCACAGCCTCTCTCCCCGTGACAGTCCACGGAGTCAGAGATGAAGCAGCTGTACCAGACACCTCCATGGAACTTTTCAAGTTCCTATGGGGGTTCAGGACCAAGAACTGTTATACAAAAACACTCGCTAAACAAGTATTTAATGTGCACTTCTCCTGTGCTAGTCATTTAAATAACAGTTTTCAGGAAAACCAAGAAATCAAAAGGGTGCCTGCTCTCAAGGAACAGAAACCGTCCCGTTGGGAACTTGCCACAGTTGCTTTTTTGGAAAGGAAGGAAAAGAGACAGATGATTAAAACACCTAAGTTTACTGTGGGCTGGAGTTTTATACTCAAGATTGAACGTGAAATTACATTTTCAGTGGCAGCACTCTTTCTGCAAGTGTAAAATCCATTTTGCCACTAATGAAATCCTCTTCCCCCTAACTATATTTAGTTTTGGGAGACAAGATTTCAACTCTGTGTATTTCAATCTTCCTTTAGAGAAACAGGTATGAAATTATAGGGAAAAGTACATGGTAAACTGGTTTTCTGAAAATGAGATACCCAGAGATGCGTCTGTGTTCCGATGACGGTTTTAGTGTCTCTGCAGCTTATTAAAGTTGATGTAGCTCCTGCAAATAAATTTAAACGAATTTCTCTGCAAAGTCAACAGTGGCTTCTTTCAGTAATCGCCTTTGTATAAATTCCTGGCATCAGGACAACAAAGTTTTATGGTGCTGACATATTAATGAAAGCTCTGATGGTTTATGTTCAGTACTTTAAAAAAAAAAGAAGCACGCTGGCACTCTCAGATGAACACTGACAACTCAATAATCAGAACTGAACATGCTGCTACTTGTGAACATACACTGCAGAAGGAAAATCAAATAGGTTTTTAAAAGAGTAAACTGAGATAATAAGAATTTCAAAAATACTACTCATGTATGTTAGGTAAATTCCAAGTTTAAAAAATGAGTTTTTAAGATAGAGAAGCAGCTTTAGGGGAAAAGGCAGTCACTCAAGTAGAAGATAAAAAAGAACAGAATTTAGAATAACAGGTAGTCCTCCCATTGGCCATGTCACACCTCACTAACAGATTTCACCTGGTAGTTCCGGAACAATTACATATACTTTCAAACATCAGTGTTACTGATTCTTGTGAAAACCTGCGGATCACGAGTTTACATGACACACTTTGAGGACTATCAGATATTGAAGAACAAGAGCATTTCAACAAGATCATTTCTGTATCAGATGAAGTTAAGTAAGTACCTATAGGACAGTGAGACCCTATGCAACTGTGTCATTTGACACTTAAAATGACACGGATTATTACTTTAAGAAATAAGTGAAATGTTTGACTCTTTCATCCTTGCATCTCTCTAGTGAAATCTAACCCTAGCTTTTCTTTCCTTCTGTTTTCTTTTTCAATACCTAACGGTAGAAAATTTTGGTTGAAATTAATTGAAAAGACAAGACTTGACAGCGTGGTTATGCAGCCTGAATCAGAAGGTCACACTTCCAAGGATACTTTCTGCATCCAAAACTGTATTGGTAGAAAGAACATGAGTTATACAGGCAATAGCTCTACGTTGACACAGTAGATCTTTTACCAACAAATTTGGTAAACTTGGACAAGACACTTAATATTCCTGATATCTCTTCAAATGAAAAATCAAATAACAATATTATTTATAGCTTAATTGTAACATACAGCGCTCAACCTCCTAATGCTGTTGTAGTGTTGAAAATAGAGAATATATATAAAATACCTGGGCATTGTGAGGGCTAAATAAATATTTGCTTTTATAAGCAATTGATGCCAATGAAAAAATAACTTGCTAAGTTAATCAAAATCTATCTTTCTCAGAGCAGCATTACAAACTGGTCAAGGGATGAAGGGAATTCAATCACAAAGATCAAAGAGCTCAGAGTTGGAAGGGACCTCAAAACTTCAAGCCAAACCTCCTACCGGGCTTTGAGTCTTAAAGTGTTTTCATTTAGCTGAGATCCAAGGGGGCTAACAACTTGTGAAAGCTTCCCATCCAGTTAGAGGAAGATCGAGGAGGAGCAGAATGTAAGGCTTCTAACATTTAACATGTTACTAATGATGCAATTCTCCTTCTCAAAAAGCATTTTCATTATTAATAGTGAATAAGAGGATGAAATTCTTTTAATTGTCCTCCAATTAAATAGATTTTAAAAGATTTACCATTCTTGGGGTGGGAGTAGAGCTTAGTGGTAGAGCGCATGCTTGGCGTGCACAAGGTCCTGGGTTTAATCCCCAGTGCCTCCGTTAAGGGGGTTAAAAAAAAAAGGCAAAACAAAACATAATGAAAATAAATAAATACAACTAAAAAAAAAAGTCACCACTCTTATATTTTTATCTTTCAGCCAAATTGCATCTTATATATATTTGGCGATAATAGTCACGGAAAAGTGATTTGCATGAGAACTTAAATTCTTTTATCAGACAGTAGAGGAGGCTTATGATTGTTTACTATGTCACGGCTTCCCTACCTTGATTGCAGGTTTTCCCAGCATATCCAGGATGACACTTGCACTTGTTAGGTCCGATACATTCACCATGTTTGCACTGTGGCTGGCATACAGCTGTGAAAAGAGGATAGCAGGCATTATTTCTAGGTCAGCAGCACGTCAACCATATGGTATATACGTCAGGTTCTCGTTTGACAATAAAAGAAAAAACTAAGAATTTACAATAGAGTAATAGAAATATACAAAATCATTGTGTCTTGGAGCAGTAAGCACTGTCTAGACTACACACTCTCACACTTGTGTTACATACGTGTGTCTGTGTGGGTGTTGCTTGGGGCTGGAAATTTTGCTAACTTGAGAACAATACTCAAATAGTCAAAAAAGAAAAAAAAACTGGAAAACTACACATACACACAACTAGTATTTGTCAATAGTTATAATTTCATAATAATCTGCACCCATAACTTCAAACTCATTTTCTCAAATATGCTTCAAAACATAGTTCTTAATCTAAAGATAGTGGTTAAGTATGAACTCAGATAAATTTCCAATTAAATAATAAAATATTTATTTTATTGGAAATGGTATTTCTAAGTATGCAATGGTTCAAAATGAATTAAAACCAAAGC